GAGAACGGAAGTAAAACCCGCGCCATTTAGCTGTATCAAATTTCTGCCAACCTAAAACAGCTTTGCCGTAATCGGACGAAACGTTTAAACAATATTAAATAGTAAAAATTAATTTTCCGACAAGAACATTACCAATTCCCTTTTCACAGTAAAATAATACGTAATAATTGTACACAACAAAAATAATAAACAGTACCGTGATGGTACAAATTAGCAATCGTTCCAGCAAGTGCCTTTTGTATCCTCTTGTGGAAATAATATGGAGATGACACTATATTGAATGCATACCGTGGAGATTATCAGCATATTATTTTCTTGTTCTAAATGGTATTATTAATTTTTTTGGATGATATCTCAACATTTTACCACTTTAAGTTATGTTGTGGGACTTAATCTGCTTGGACATAGCATTTCTTTTTTAATTTCAATTAGTGATCTAGCCCTAGTTTCAGGTATTGGTAATGCTGACTTCTGTAGTCACTTTGGAATGCACTCCAGAGGCAACTCTCAATCACTAGTCGATGCATTTAAATGCATTAAGAGTCACCTCTGAAGTGCAACGTAGTATCTCTCGACGTATAAATAAATATGTAATTTCGCAGGGTAGAACGAAAGTGAATAGATGTAGTATAAAATGTATTAGTAAGTAAGATTTCTTTTTTATTAAATTGTATAATATTCATTATTTTTATTCCCTGTAGAATTAATTAGCTTTTTAAAGAAAAGTAGTCGTTTTTGAGACAATTATTCCTACGTTTTACTGGCAGTTGTAAAGAACGTTCTCTTTCCTTAGTACATGCCTTTGAGATGTAATTGGAAGCTCGTCCGACTAGCAGTAAAGAGGTCTGGAATTTGAATTTCATCGAGTGCGTACTTATTAATCATATTTCCTGAATTTCAACATTCTAAAATTGTTAACGTGTGGCGCCCAAAATAAGTGGTTGGCGATAAATTATATATGATGGACAATAAATTCATCACTACCTGAATTTGGAGACTAGGTCCCCTCTTTTCAGTTGCTCTTAATGTAAAAGAGAATGTAAGGAATTTTCTTCGTTCATACCGCGAGCTTTCGCGATGCAGTTCGAAAACATGTCCGACTAACATCGAAAGGTGCAGAGTAGAGCTCCGTAGAGAGCAAATTTAATTTTTTACGTTTCTTACTCCAAATTAAACTTTACGCAATTAGTTTAAAGTTAAATTTTATCTTATTCTTCTTGATTCGTCAGGATACTTTCTTAGGCCATAAGTTTTATTCAAACTGAAAGCAAAACAATGATCTTAATCATGAATCTATTGGACCGCTCAGACGATATAGTGGTTAGGTGAGCTTTCTGTGGTACCGAAGGGCCCGGGTTCAAATCCCGAAGAACGCATGGATATTTGTAAATGTGTAGTGTCTTTGAGGCATGGGGGAACTCAATATATGGCGAGCCGAAAGCCTTCTCGAGAGGTTTCGGTAGGGAAAGAAGGGTAGAAGGAAATTCGGAAAGGAGAACCTCGCACCCTCTCCCTCGGGATGCTCTCCATCAAAATTGGGGTGGACATAAGCGAAGTCGTACTGTCACCTGTATGATGCTCAAGGCTCTTGCCAACGGCAGGCGCAATCTTGCTGTCTTAGCAGGGTCAATTTCGTAGGCTTGTTCTGATGTTATTGTGAGAAAAGTGAGGTAACTTATAAAATGAATCTGTTGGAGTTTGCACAGCGTTGTTGCAATCTTGGCCGAACATGTCGCCTGCAGTAACTGTGAAACAGCTACAGCAAGTTTTTAGCAGCTCTTTGCAAGTTATTTAAAAAGCTAATATACATCAGAGCTAACTCTATATTTGTAGGTTTGAGATATAAATAATCTGAATCTTATTCTGAAGACAGGTTGCCTACACCTGTAAGTTTTGTATGAGAAGAACTAATTTTGGTGCAAGTTATTTTAAATTCTTGTAAAACTCTTAAACAAAACCTAATAAAATTTTGTGCTGATGTTACATTTGAATTTTTATGTTGTTGCAAGAGTTAAATAGTGCCATGGACGATAACTTGCTTATTAACAAGAAACGTCTGTTAATAGTCGATGGGTGTGAAGGCTATTTCACAACATAAAAGTTATATAATATTTATCATAATTCAAGAATAATTTATAACCTTAAAATCTACAGCTTCTTGTAAAATAATATGTATGATTATATTTATTTTTTGTTTCTAATCTAAATATTAGAGTATTTCATTATACATTATTAGCACTAGTATGCTGAAATAATGTACTTCTTTTTAAAATGTAATCCAAGTTTTGTAAATTAAATTTCAAATTAATACGACATTGCAGTAAACGTTTTAGCTGCTTAACATGTATTTTCTCTAATCTTCTAAAACTGTCCCTGACCATTAATGATATAAGAAAGCTGGAATTTCCCAGTCCAAACTATGCATGACTCCAAAAGGCAAGCCGTCAATTAAATATATTCGGTATGACGACACTATTAAACGAATAATTTTTGTCCTATCAAATTAAGCTGATATGCTTAAGTAACAACGCATGCCGACTGTCCTAGCAATTATGATTAACTGTAAGGTCAACCAAGCAAAGCATCACCGTTCACACTAAAGAAGATAAGTAATTTAATCATGAATTTGCTCTTCAAGGGACAGTCTTTCTTAAGAAAAACAACTGTTGTAACTTTTTTCAGCATTTCCTTTACAAATTTAAATTAGACTATATTATTCGTATAAGGATAATATATGAAATTTCTTACGCCAAGCATGTGATTATTTCACTATTTTCCATGTAATTTTCAGTCATTTATTTCCATGATGTATGGAAATACCTTAAATATTTGCATTCGGAAAGGAGAAATGAAATGAGAATTTAGACCAGAATAATAGAAAAACGTTATTCATCATTGATATTGAAGCTTGATTTAATAAATGTTTTTGAAGAAATATTAAATTATATTGAAACTTCTTGTATTAAAATATTAGAAATCTTACTTTAAAGAAAAATTCAATAATGCTCATTAAATATACTTTTAAAATTTTCTGTAAACTCATTATGACGATTTGGAAGCTCTTGCTGGATTTCGAAACCATTTGAATCAAGCTCTGAAGACTGTGGGCCACATCTTCTTATCTGCTTGAAGCACTATCGAGAACTCGTATCTTCTCACAGGATCAACATTGCGAGATAGTTGAGTAGCTCGCATGTGATTTGCCATATTCAAATAGCTTATAAAAATGTTCAGACAGAAAAAAGGCGCACATCGTTTTATTACTTAAGGAAAAGTTGCAGGCGTGCATTTTAAATTTAGTTACCTTCAAGCGCATCGTTTTGATGGAATATATTAAATGAATATGAATTATATTAAATGAATATGAATTATATTAATGAATATGAATTTATTAAATGAATTTGAATTATATTAAAGGAATTTGAATTATATTAAATTAATTTGAACGTTAATAAATTAATTTGAACGTTAATAAATTAATTTGAATTATATACTATCTTACTATACTTTGCAAAGTTTAGTTTGTATACTTTTGTATAGTATAGTTACTATACTTTACAATACTATACAAAGTTATAACATATACTATATTTTGTAATATGAATTATACTATCAAGTAATAAGACTATGTAATATGAATTATAATATGTAATATGTTTTATATAGTATAGTTACTATACTTTACTATACTATACAAAGTATAGTATATACTTATACTATACTTTGTAATATGAATTATACTATTAAGTTCATTCTAAATTTTACTTTCAGCTCCGTTTGTATTTCCAGTTTGCAATGGAATCCCAGGATATAGTCGTAAATTGAGAAGTACATGTACTTATAAAACAATGCAAATATAAAAGAAAATAATTGCCTTTTTATAGTTCCAAGTATGTTACTATTCTCTTGCCATGAAGCATTTCACAAATTCTTTAAACTAAATTCCAGTGCTTACGTAAAGGACGTTCTGTTTACCCATCGGGTTTACGAGAACGTCTCATCAGTTTTAACTACTGAGGTTGACGCAGTACACAAAGGAAAGAGAACTGTATCATCAGATAAAGATAATATAAATGAGCAGAAGAGTATCAGAAAAGGCAGCAACCCTTCGTTTTGACCCTAATTACGTTCTGGCTTACAGCCGCTGTGTGCTGGACTCTTTTACTCTTCCAACGAAAGATATATTTGTTTTCCTATCTGCAATTTTCCCGTAAAAGGTAGCAGATGTCACTAGTTAAGTACAATACATAAAGTAAAACGGTTTCTTTGTTCATTCCAAAAACTATTAAATAATGAAAGGCTAAAAACCCTATCACATTCACGCTTTGATAGGAGAAAAGAGATCGTTTATATTTTGTATTCTTATACTTTATACAGAACATTTTCTAAGATTATATTTTACAAATGTAAAGTCTCTATCAATAATATTTTCTTTGTTCTCATATATTAAACTCCTAATATAGTCAAAGATTAAATGTTTGTCTTTACAGTTTTCATACACTTATGTACATTTTGCCTTGAGCATAGGTTTAGTTATTTATTTAAATAATTATAAATTCATTTATTTGACCACCACACTCTTTTAAAATAATATTTTACATCAATACATGATTATATATTTCTTTTTATTTGGCTTCAAAGCAATCAGGAAGCTAAGCACGGTAGAAAGCATTAAATAGCATAAGTATGAAACATACATATACATCTATAAATACAAAACAAATACATATACATTTATAAATAACATACATATACATTTATAAATGTATTTGTTTCATTATATTAATTATACTTAATATAATTACACACACGTATATGTATATATAAGTATATGTATTATAAAACAAATACATATACATTTATAAATGTATTTGTTTCATTATATTAATTATACTTAATATAATTACACACACGTATATGTATATATAAGTGTGTACGTGTATAGATGAAAAATCTGGAAGAAAACGGAAGCTTAATTTAAGTTCAAACTTAAATTTTACCTTTCACTTGAATTCAAACTTGAAATTCCCCAGAGAATTCTATCTTGATCGTGTAGCAACGCCGAAACGTTGTTTAAAAATCAACTTACGCCCTCTGTAGGAGCAACCTGGGAAAGAAATGATCATTCATTACCGTTTTTAATTAATTTTTCAGTTACTTTCTGATAAATTCTGTTCTCAGGTCCTTCTTGATTATGTTAAAATTAAACAAGGCAAAGACATAAACAAAGACAGAAGTATACTGTAGCTTACCAGTGATAAAAAATACAATCTTCCATATAACAGATAAAAAAGAAACTTAAATTGTGGTAGTTAAAGTACAAACATCAAACAAAAACAACTGCCTATTAGAATACTCTATTCCTGAAGAAATCTACCTCATGATAAATTTTAAAAAAAAGTTTATTAATCAATTTAATTATTATACGATATAAAGAGCTAAAAAGCAGCTGAAATTACAAGGCATGTGCAGAATATCTTGTATACATAAAAAAATGGCACTTCTGAAAATGTTAAATTTAGCAATGCTTACTTCTTTAACAATAGATAAAGTGCTTTTTACAAGAAAGGTACACTAGCAAATTTCTTGAAATTTTTTAGAATTCCATTTGTATTATAATATATAATTTTACAACACAACAGATTATGTGCAACAGAATTTGGAAAGTAATTTCCTTACATTTATTCTTTTATTAAAATTATGTTCTAGTAATTGAAATCACATCATAGGAACGAAATACTGCAATTAAGATAAGCGCACTTTTCCTTTCGTCAAATGTTTATGTAATGAACGTTATAAACAAAAGCTAACAAAATACGGGTTGACAAATAAGTGTTATTTTGTAGTAACATTTTGACTTGAGCGTAGGAAAGTGAATAACCATTTTGTCGTTATTTTAAAGTAACGTTATTTATATCAATCTCTCAGTAAGCGGAAATTCCCACAGGCAACTTTAGAACTTAATTTTGAATGTTTACAGAATATCTTCTTTTATAAAACCACTCTGAAGAAGTTAATTTTCTCTGAAACATAAGCACATTTCTCCTCCACCAAATAGGTTCATTTATTTAACATTTTGCGTTTCAAGTTTCATATGTGAAAGACCAAGAATATTCTCTTTAGGGAAAAATATTTTCCTCCTTTCCTTTTATTAGATGTAGTCATTAAATGCTTAACTTTATTCTTGAAAAATATCCGGATATAATTGTAAATGTATAATTGCTATGAATGTAAATTTATCTGTAAATTTTGAGATTTGTAATTCTAATAGAGCTGCAAATTTGTTTACTATCAATAAACCTTATTTTATCATTTTTTTATGTTTGAATGTAAAACAAATACTAGGTACTTAAATCTGAAGTGCATACTAGGTTTATTAATCTATAGAATTTAGAATTGTTTGATAACATAAACTAATTCCAACTCTTAACAGCTTGGGAGCAAATTATTGCAGCATCTGCAGTTAACGAGTTCGGAGAAGGTTAAACAAACATTTTCATTAAATCAGAACTTTGCACATAAAATGCACGTGTCAGGCGTAACAGAATCAGCATGCTACTGGTGGCTATGTAACGCAAAGTAGCATTCATATTCAAGATTTAAAAATAAGGTTAGTAGCAAAGGGCTACACAATGATTTAACGCGAAATTGGCTCAAACATCTCACCTGGTAGCAATTTGAATGCTGGCAACTAACATGCAAGGCCGACGACTAACAATCTTACAATCTTATCTAAGCTAATGAAACCTAATAACGTGGCTTTGAGAGGAAAAAGCACCCTCTCTCGTACAATGCAAAACTCTCGACATAAATACTGTCAAAGTGGTTTGTATAGTGTGTGTATGTGATTATGGCAAAGCCTCGAGGGCTATCTGCCTAAGAGGAGGGATGCCTTCGTGGAGGACTTTCTAAGGGAAACTGGCTCGTATACACGTTACACATGGGGAAAACCACGAAAACGCCCATGCAGCCAGCCCGTTCGCGGGATTCGAACCTCGGACCGAACTACCAGTGTTCAGCGACTTTACCGCTCGGCCGCTGGTGGGCCCGGTTTGTATAAACGGAAAGGAGAAGTGACAGTAAAGATCGTAAGATAACAAGTTAGATTACCATAATGGAAAGTTATAAATTTGAAGGTTCATTTACGTTAAGAATTTTGCGGTTGTTATCCAAATAAAGCTTCATGTATGATGGCTCTCTTTTATGCGTACTATCTGAACATAATTGCGGATACCTTTACATGGCATCTGTCTTTCCAACTGGAAATGGAATCTTCCAGCAGGACAATGCCCCACGCCATAAGTTCGAACGGTGTTGGAGTGGTTCGAGGAGCATAAGGATGAATTCCAATTAGTGACCTTGCCACCTAACTCGCCAGATCTTAACCCGATAGAGCACATTTGTGCTGTCATGGAGCAGTAGCTCGGAGCTCAGACACGACCATGTCGAAATATCTGGACTTTGCTTGACCGCTGCTTAGACTTTTGGTTCAACCTGTCTACAGTCCTCTACAAAGTACTTCTGGCATCCATGCTAAGGCGAGGTGCAGCTGTTTTACAGATCAAAGGTCACGCAACACGTTATTGAGTAGGTGGCAATAATACTGTGGCTCTTCAGTGTAGTTTAAAGTGAAACTACAATGTTTGCTTTATTCATATTCTTAAGTGAAATGAGATGCATTTTCAGCAACACTAAATAAAGAGACACCTAATTTATTGCGTATTTACATGTATTTTTTTAAGCTTGTATTTCCTACCGATATTTCTGTGAACGAGTTACTGCGTCGAATCTTCATTTATATTCACTTCGTTTTTTAATTTAGCTCATGAAATATTTCATAAGTTTTGATGCATGGTATATATTTTATTATAAATTCTTGTGGGAAAAAATAATACGAATTTTCTGCTCTTCACTTAACCCAAAATATTAAAGTAGTTTTATACATAGGCATTCATCAAAGCATATCTAGCTTTAATCTGAAAATCAGTTTATTTTGAAAATAGGACATTCCAAATTTTAGTTTTCAAAATGAATGAATATTTAGATTTCTTTATGCAAGTTTCAAGTCAAGGGAAACAAATTCTCTTATAAGAAAAGTGAGGAAATGATACGAAGTGTAAATGATATATATATATGTACGTATTCAGTTTCAGCTTAGAGTTACTTAAAATAGTTTTATGAATAATACAAGTTATTTTTTTAATTTTTAATAATACAAGTTAATTAATTTAATGTTAATTTATTTTAAAATTATTTTTCCTTTGAAAGAATACCGATTTCATAGCTCTAATGGCGTTTAGATATATTTTTGATGATTACGATTTTTATACCAAACATGAAGATAACTTAAAAGAAACACCCGTAATTTTATTAACCATTGTCTTTAGCTAAAGTGTCGCCGTTTTGCAGACTGCTTTAATAAATTTGGTCATAAATTTTATAGGACACATGCTTTACGATCTGATAAATTTCTTCCTCATTATCAAAAAAATACGTTTGCCACATTTTGTGTTTTCATTTTGACTTTGCAAAGATAACAGTTTGTAAAATCTTTTACGAATAAAACTACAATTTAAACTAAATCAGGATGAAGATATATTTGTTTTATTCAAAGCATTTCAAAAGTCTTATGTTAATATCCTTCACATTCTAAATTTTCTTAAAACAGCTTTCTTAAATCGAAGACACTTTTATGATTACTTTGACGCTATATAAAGTCAATTAAAATCTTTAAAACGCCTTAAGTTGACTTTACAAAAAACGTTTTTTTCCATTCCTCAGAATTCTATAAAATTGATTTTACTGTTGTTGGATTTAACGGAAATTCTGCCAGTTTCATTTCCGCAAAATTTTGCAATAGGAAGAGTTCCGCCTCTCTCTGGAGAAATATTCTTTGTAATTTTGTCAAAGATAAAATAACCTTTTCTGCAATGGCAATACAAGTCAATTCGAATGCAGAAAAAGAATACGATACTCGATAGATGCTCACAAAATAATCTTTCTAAAGGATACTTTTAGCAGTTACTGCGAATTCTGGCAAATATATAAAGTAATTTATTTTGTGCAGACGAGTTAAAACTACATAAAAGAATCAAGAAGTTATTCAGAATATTTTTCCTCTTGCCTTCTCATTCTTTCATCGTTTTCTTTCATTTACATATAGCTAACATTTTTCATTTACAAGTTCATCAATAATAACATCATTTAAAGAAATTCTTCTTCAGAAGAAAATAGTCTTTGATTCAGCAAATAAATGTTTTCATTATCTTCGAATTTATTACTTTCAGTCTCTGACCGGATGCCTGAGAATTTTATTCACATCTACAAATATCGTTTGAAAGAATATTTTTCACAAATCCTACAGTCTAGAAAGATTTAAAAGTTGTTGTCGGGAGCTTTCATCTTTTGCACTGATTGATAATTTCCGTTGGAGATGCATATTAAAGAAATTAAAGAATGGATGAAAATCAATTACAGTTGTCATAAAGTACGGAAAACTGAAATAACGAGCCCCCGGTTTGGTTGCCAGCAAGAAAATAAGTTCTGAAGTCACGTACCGATAACTAGCGCTCGAATTGCATTGTCAAAACTATAAGCGAGCATCTTTACAAAGTTATACAGGGTGACCAGCTCTTTTATTATTCGTAATATAAATGTGCAGATTAGTTCTGAAAAGAGAATTATTTAATCTCATGTCCCGATAGAAATATATGATAAATTATATTTCTCGTTTTAATTCATTAATTGTTTTATGAGTTTTTAACAAAAGCTTATAATTTCGATAAAAACGTTTTTACATTTTCTATTTACTTCGTGATGACGTGAAGACCAATTAATGTCATGAAAAATGAAAGCGTTTGCTTGCAGCGAATAGGAACTAAACTAGTATTCTTCTGGTATATTATTAATAATTACAGAAAATCGCCTATTAATATGTTTTTATAGCTTTTCCTTTAAAAGGTAGCAGGAAGAGTTTTGCTACAATCTATGAAAATTTCAAAATTGTAGGAAACCTACATTTTAGAATGCGATGCATTAAATCTAACAGATGGTAGCTCGATCAATCCGCTGAAATGCCACCAAATTTGGGAAGGGGACTAATGACGA